TTTCTATTGGTCAAGGGAAAAATACAACAAGAAGATGTTTCAATTCTAAATATTTGCACACCCAACTTAAATGCGCCCAGATTCTTGAAACAGACCTTACTCAGTCTGAGCAATATGATATCCTATAATACCATAATAACAGGGGACTTTAACACTCCTCTTACAGAGCTGGACAGATCCTCCAACAGAAATTAAACAAAGATGTAAGAGACTTAAATGAGACCTGAGAACAACTGTCCTTGATAGATGCATATAGAACACTCCATCCCAAAGGTAAAGAATATACATTCTTCTCATCGCCGCATGGAACATTCTCCAAAATTGATCATATCCTATGACACAAAACAAACCTTAGCAGAATCAAAAGAAGTGAAATTTTACCTTGTATCTTCTCAGACCACAAGGCACTAAAGGTGGAACTCAACTCCAACAAATACATTCAACCCCACACAAAGGCATGGAAATTAAATAACCTTCTGTTGGAATGACAGTTGGGTGCAGGAAGAAATAATAGAGGAAATCATTAACTTCCTTGATCATAACAACAATGAAGACACAAGCTACCAAAACCTGTGGGATATCGCAAAAGCAGTTTTAGAGGAAAATTTGCTTTAGATGCCTATATTTGAATAACAGAAAGAGAGCACATCAAGAAACTCAAAAGCCATCTTATGGAATTGGAAAAAGAAGAACAATCTAAGCCTAAATTCAGCAGAAGAAAATAAATATCCAAAATTAAATCAGAGATCAATGAAATTGAAAACAAAAGAACCATTCAGAAAATCAATGAAACAAGGAGTTGTTTTTTTAAAAAAATAAATAAAATAGATAAACCTTTGGCCAGACTAACTAGAACTAAAAAAGGAAAATCTCTAGTAACCTCAATCAGAAATGATCAAGGGGGGAAAAAAAAAGAAATGATCAAGGGGAAATAACTGATGCCACAGAGATACAAGAGATCATCTCTGAATACTACCAGAAACTCTATGCCCAGAAATTTGACAACGTGAAGGAAATGGATCAATATTTGGAATCACATCCTCTCCCAAAGACTTAAGGAGAAGAAATACAGCTCCTGAACAGACCACTTTCAAGCACTGTGATTAAAGAAACAATAAAAAATCTTCCAACCATAAAATGCCCTGGTCCAGATGGCTTCACATCAGAATTCTATCAAACCTTCAAGGAAGAGCTTATTCCTGTACTGCAGAAATTATTCCAAAAAATTGAGGAGGAAGGCATCTTCCCCATCACGTTCTGTGAAGCAAACAATACCCTGATACAAAAACCAGTTAAAGACTCAAGTAAAAAGGAGAATTTCAGACCAATTTCACTAATGAATATAGATGCAAAAACTCTCAACAAAATCCTAGCCAATAGATTACAACTTATCATCAAAAAAGTCATACATCATGATCAAGTAGGTTTCATCCTAGGGATGCAAGGCTGATTTAATTAACATACGCAAGTCCACCATATTGACAGAAGTGAACACAAAGACCATATGGTCTTCTCAATAGATGCAGAAAAAGCACTAGATAAAATCCAGCATTCTTTTCTAAATAGAACACTGAAGAGTATAGGCATACGTGGCACATTTCTGAAACTGATCGAAGCTATCTATGACAAACCCACAGCTAATATTTTACTGATTGAAGTAAAACTGAAAGCTTTTCCTCTTAGAACTAGAACCAGACAAGATTGTCCTCTGTCACCATTACTATTCAACATAGTGCTAGAAGTTCTAGCCACTACAATTAAGCAAGACAAGGAAATAAAGGGCATCCAAATGGGAGCAGAAGAGATCAAATTCTCCCTCTTTGCTGATGATATGATCTTATACTTAGAGAACCCCAAAGACTCAACCACAAGACTCCTGGGAGTCATCAAAAAATATAGTAACGTCTTGGGATATAAAATCAATCTCCACAAGTTGCCTTTGTATATGGCAATAACAGTCAAGCTGAGAGGCTAATTAAGGACACAACTCCCTTCGCCATAGCTTCAAAGAAAATGAAATACCTAGGAATATACCTAACAAAGGAGGTGAAGGACCTCTATAAAGAAAATTATGAAATCCTAAGAAAGGAAATAGCAGAGGATATTAACAAATGGAAGAACATACCATGCTCATGGCTGGGAAGAATCAACATTGTTAAAATGTCTATACTTCCCAAAGCAATCTACCTATTCTATGTCATCCCTATTAAAATACCAACATCATGGCTTAGCACCTGTAGCTCAAGTGACTAAGGCACCAGCCACATACACCAGAGCTGTCGGGTTCAAATCCAGCCCAGGCCTGCCAAACAATGACAACTACAACCAAAAACTAGCTGGGCATTGTGGCGGGCACCTGTAGTCCCAGCTACTTGGGAGGCTGAGGCAAGACAATTGCTTAAGCCCAGGAGTTGGAGTTGCTGTGAGCTGTGATGCTACAGCACTCTACACAGGGCAACAGTTTAAGGCTCTGTCTCAAAAACAAATTAAATTAAATTAAAAATAAAATATGGCGGCTCGGCGCCTATAGCTCAAC